CACGCAAGGACTATGAGAATCTGCAAGGTTTAATTTCAATTTTATTATTATTATTACATAATTGTCTCTATGTATTATATAATTACCGCATTCTCCTTCATGTTTGACATACAATTCCAATCTGTTTTTGCAACTGGCCATACGCAAATGACATCTTGATGGATAAACGCGGTTGTCGGAACCGCAAACGCGTTCGTCATTGTGCTAAGAGGAAATAATAATTGTAAAAGATATTTATGTACACAGACATTAACAAATATTTGAATAAATATAAATATTTTCAATAAAAACCGCCATTTTGACAGTGATTTTTATAATTGACACTTGCTTGATATTAAATATTTGAATAATAATTGTAATTGATATTTATGTACACAGACATTAACAAATATCTGAATAAACATTAATGTTTTTAATAAAAACCGCCATTTTGAAATATTGTTGCATACTTCACAGTGATTTTTATAATTGAAACTCGTTTGTTTCGGTTTTTTCTTCTATCTCTTTTTGGCAATCTGTATTAGAGCGAGAGCGCGATATTAAATATTTGAATAATAATTGTAATTGATATTTATGTACACAGACATTAACAAATATTTGAATAAACATAAATGTTTTCAATAAAAACCGCCATTTTGAAATATTGTTGCATTCTTCACAGTGATTTTTTATAATTCAAACTCGTTTGTTTCGGTTTTATCTTCTATCTCTTTTTGGCAATATGTGTTAGAGCGAGAGCGCGATATTAAATATTTGTCAGGCAATACGCTAAGAAAATTCTAGGTTTTGGCGTAAATGACGCCATTAATAAACTTGGCCATTTTGCTTCAGTTTTATCATCCATCTCTTTTTAACAACGTGCGTTAGAGCGAGTGCGCGATACTAAATATTTGAATCAGGCAACTCGATAAGCAATTATTTGAATTTGAATATAAAGATTTATTTGATTGCTATTGTTATTGAATATTTTTTTACTTTTGATTAGTTTTTACCTGTTTATTATCATAATCCGGACAATTAGTAACGCATTCGCATATAGCCCCACTCGGGTCCACCTCCGTAGGAACTTCTATGCAGTCTGCATTGTGCGCACAATGTTTCCTTTCACATGGCGCTACGAACAAGCACAAAAAAACACATAAATTAATCTACATAATTATAAATGCATTTAATAGTATTTCTCACACGGTCACACGACTATAAATTATAGCGAATAGATGATTATTTATTCATAATTTAATGTTTTATTAGTAACACTTTCTAAATTAGATTAGCATTTTTTGTTGAAAATTTCTGGAGTCTATTTCACACAACTTACTTTCTATAATTTGCGGTCTAGGGATATAAGGTTCACCTGTAACACAGAAAATAGAGAATTGTAATTGTAATTGTCACTTGGTTTTATAATTGTCAGTTGGGGTTATTAAGGCCACCGTCACAATTGTTTATGTAGTTTTAGGTTTAAATTTTAATAATGGGAATATTCTCAGCTAATTTGTTGACTATTTGAAAAATGTAGTGAATTTCTATTGTGCAACAGCTGTTTTAGAAACAATTGTAAATAAATTTTGATAATTTGTTCCTGTTAATAAAACAACACAAATGAACTGCATATTGTGATAAAATATATTTATTATTTTCGAACGTATTTCGAACAACGCGTAACGGATAACACATAATGCTAATTTAGATTTCAATATTTTAAATTTTAAATTATAACACACTGATGATGAGACAAACCTAGTCTCGAAACGTTTGTGAAAATTATTATTTAATAAAATAGTGCAAAAAAGAGTGTTGTTTGTTCATATTTCTAAATTAATATTTATTATTAGTTATATAAAAACACTTTTAATAATAATAAACATAAGTTTAATATAATATTTTATGTTCAAAATGAGTTCCGCCATTTTAACCGTCAATTATCAGTGTTGCCACAACAAAAATTTAATACATCAACAAATTGTCAAAAAATAGCTCAGAATGTTTTTTATTATTTAATTAGTAAAAGCGCGATGAT